TGTGTGTGTGTGTGTGTGTGTGTGTGTGTGTGTGTGTGTGTGTGTGTGTGTGTTTCCCATTTGTTCAGGTTAGAGTCTGATGTCAAGTCTGTTTTATATGTTGTTTTTGTAAAGGCAGTCAACCTTATGTAGTGGATGGAAAAATTTAACTTGTCACAGCTTGCATCTGTATGTTACTCATCATGTTGATTAATTGTCTCCACTTACTAAAACTCTTAATGTATATGACATAACTAATGAACTTAAAAATAAAGGCATTGAATTAAGATCTAATGCTAGATTTATTTCAGTCAATGTCAGTATTCTAACCATAAACACACATTATGAAAAATGGAGAACTTAAATATTTTTAGATATATCAGGCTTTTAACCTGATAAGCCTTTTTTTTTACTAACTTCTAAATGATTTTTAAAAATTGAAATGTGTAGCATCTAAAACACCAGTTAAATGAAAAATGTCAGATTCAGCCCAAAGAAGTCTGATTTGGGTCAGAGGCACATATATCTAACAATATGATAAATATTACTGTTAATATAGTGAGAAGAAAGAATAAATTCTAAGGTCTTTGTTACTATGAAACTGGTTTACAGATTGAGTGATATGAGCACATGGTGCTTTTATAAACAGCAGGTACTGGATTACTGCCAAAGCAGCAGGAAAAAACAGACTTAAAAATTGTACCTAGTTACTTGCATTTTGTCTGATTTAAATACACAAAGATTTTAATGGTACTACTTGGTAATGTCTTCACTAGTGGTAGAAATACAGACACGGTACTAAATATACTGTGAACAATACTGTAAAAAAATGCACCTTTTGAATGCTTGCCTATTTGCCTCATGAAAAAAACTCTTACTGCTCTGAAATTATTCATTACTCCGCTAGCAGTTGAATTATGTAAGTGGGGTTTTGTGTCTTTTGGTTCAGGTTTTAGAAGATAAAGTGGAAAAGGGGGACTCACTCACTGCCACCATTTTATCACGAACTGGGAATAGGGTGAATCCCAGAGCCTCTGCATGTGAAGCTGAGAACATCTGGGAACAGTGGTGGCAGCAGGCAGGCTCCTCTTTCCAGGGTCTGTTTCCCCGGCATGTGGGGGATCCCTGGGGAACTTGTCTCCCCAGCTGAAGCAGGACAGGAGTGGAGTAGGAGTAGCTCTGGGGCTTCCCCCGTGCATGAGTCAGTGGTATTGATGGCAAAGGGGGTTCCCCCCAACCTTCCTTCCTGCTTCTCCTTCCTGCCCAATGTCTCCTGCCAGCCCAAGGGTTTCAGCCATGTCTCACCCCCATCCCCACGTGGAAGCAAGAAACAATTGAAAGTCAGTGCAAGCACCAAATAGCTTGAGACTTTTCATTACGTTTTTGTTACATTTAGAAAATGGGACAAATGTTTATTATTGCTATCTGAACATGTATCTTGCTTTACATGTGTCATTTCCAAATCTGCAACAGGCTCCATTTCCTAGGAGCCCCTGCCTGAAACTCTTTGGTTGGTTTCCACTGAGACCCCAGGAGCAGCGGAGGACCATAACAGTGTGGGGCCAGGGTCTCCATGTAGACTGGCCTGAGCAGCTCTGGCAGGGCATGATGGGCAGGGAGCTGCTCTGGGCCTGGGACTTGTTAAACATGCATTTTACGTGCCAGACAAATCAGACACCAGGGTCACGATAATAGTACTTCAGTCACTGACTGATACCACTAAAACTTCATGCTTCCACTCTGCAAGGAAGTGGGAATCATTTATTGTGGGAACTTCTCTGGATGCATCCTTGATAGAAACATTCAGTATTTGAAAGTGTATGGTTTTTAAGGTGGTAGGTCCCACAACCTGTCCTCCCTGTCCCTGGTTTCTGAAATCCTTAACAACATGGCTTCGATCTGCGAGGGAACTGAGGAAGGAAGTGTGGCCAACTCACCCTTTATGCCCTTTTAGCTGGATTACAAGGGGGCTTGGTGTCTGTTGGTGGCCTTCATGACCACTACTGTTCAAAAACAACACTTTCTGGGATCATGCCTGAGGCACATGTGCATCTACATGTGCATTACATTTTGACCATTTACCACAGAATGTGTAACTCTCTTCTTCTTTTCATCAAAACAGATCGTCATACATGCCTACATTTCAGGAATAATTTTGCAGAATATTTATAGCTGAGTTCTTCCATGAGGAGAAATGCTAATAAAATTTAGGTTAGGTTTCAAAGCACTAGTTGGGAACCCTTGATATAGATGCTTTGCTTAGTTGAATCTAGGGGTGTGTGTCCTTTTTTGTTTTATTTACAGGTTTTAGTAATCCCTAGATAGCTGAAATGCTTTGAGTAAATTAAATAAAGCTGGAATTGGGGCATTTTGTTCAATACTCCTCTTCTGTTTTCTCATCCAGGTACTATGATTCTGCAGAGCTGAGCAGCAGCACTTTTTCTAAGTGGGATGATAATTCAGATTCTTTTTGGAAGAAGGAGAGTAATAGAGATGCTGACATAATACTAACTTCAAAAATTACAGGCTATTCAGACAGGTATACAGAGACTATTTATTCTGACTGTGGTCCCAAGATACTCTCATCTAACTTATGAGAGTACTGATTATTTAAAGGGACTTCTTGTGTGACTAAGACTAGTGGGATTTGACCACATCTTTTACTAGTAATAGTGAGGTTATTCTTACACATGTATCAAGATTTTATGCAACTTTATTATTTAAGCACTGCTTATTTAGAACTAAACAAGGCAAGATGAAATGCTTATTTTTTCCAAAACCATAAGCCAAAGACAATTACATAAAACAAGATGAGCATTGCATTTGGATTATAAGTATTTCAATTATTTTTTAGTTATTCTAACAAAGAGGTGGGCAAAATGCCCTGGCTGCCTGTCATGCAACCCTCAGTGGCTTGCCAAAACTCACTCAGTAAGCAGCCCTCCTCCTGAAATAATTGCCTGCCTCTGTTCTAACATCTTGTCTAGTTTTCTTCTGAAGCCATTTTGCCTTATCCCTTAAATCATACACTGTTTCCTTGCACCCATGATTCATTCATTGAGTATATTAAGGTTTAAAATATCTGTGAGCAACAGATTTATTTTAGAACAGCTTATAATGGGAATATATCTGCAATGGAAAACATGTTTTAAATTTTGTAGTCATGACTTGTACTGTGCCCAGCTTGCTTTTACTTCTCCCTTTAAGTTTTATTTAAACATTAATTTCATACTCCTCTTTCACTGGATGGCATTAGAAAAGAACAGCATGTGATTTGTGTAATTGAAAACTTTATCATAATGTATATGCAGAGAATCAAAGGAACTCGAACAACCATAATTGTCGTTAGCTTACTTTATCTTACTTGTTTTGACATTCTTTTAATGTGTTGTTCTGGTGAGATTTCAGTGTTTATTTGGCAGTAGGGTGTGAAAGAGAGAATTATGAATTCCTCTACTATCACTAAATTAAGTTGGCTATAAACAGACTTGTTTCTCAGTATATACTTTGTAAAGTTTTTTTTAAATATTCATTTTGGGCAAAGCTTAAACTAATATCTGTTTACTGTGTAAATGTTATGGTTAGCCTGGCTTTGTCTTTGAATTCAAGCCCAAATATTTGGGCGAGGTTGTAGTTCAGTAATATATGCACACCTACCCGTAAAATTGTCACCAGAATAGTATGGTTTTGAGACTTTGTCAGTTACAAGAAAAACTGAGACAACTTTTCTTACTTTAATTCGGGTTGATTTAGCTTTTATATTGATCTTTAAATAAGAATATGTCCTTTAGTTATTTTTATAAAAATACTACTTGCCATATAATTACAATGTATATAATGTACCAAATAGAACTTAAAACCTGAGCAAAAAATTTTAAAAACGTTTTTAGGCCTGCATCGCGTCGTAAACCTGAATACGAGTTGCCTTTAAACACAGATGAGGCGCAAAAAAAGTTTGGCAATGTCAAAGCTATTTCATCAGACATGTATTTTGGAAAGCAAGACCATGCAGATGTAAGTACAAATAATTCTACATCCTGTAAACTCTGTATATGCTTAATATTCTGTGATGGTTTTTAAAAAATGGTGTTGCAGTTATACATGCTGGGTACTAAATAGTTAAGTCAAGGAGTGGGGTTATCTTTTGTAAGGTCTTAAACTTATATCTGAATATTCAGTTGATGGTAGTGCTTAAGTTTTAGCTGCTGTATTTCCTTTTTGAATTAGATCTGAAAGTTAGTCTTCAGTAGGATTGAGAATGTGATCTGCTTCATTGCAAGCAAATGTTTTCAAGACATCTTACAAACATCTCACTTATACTGATTATGTACCCATGGTGCTAAAGAATCACTAAAGCATAATCAACCCAGAGTGAACACAGAATATGCCTCATAGCATTCAACCTAATAAAATCTAAGTTTATTAACATGCTAAAGGTATTAATAGTTTATACAGGGAGAGAGAGAAAAAAAACCCACTTAGTTCCATGGTCTTGCCCAATCCCAGAAGTTACTCCACTTCACAGAAAAGTTCCTGAAAGTAGAGGGTGGTTGTCTGTGGGTAACGGGCTGTTTTTCAGTTGAGCTGTTGTTTGACGACATATACCCAACTTCCTTGTTGCCCCCCTTTTTATGCTTTTTCTTTAACTTTACTCTTCTGATGTCTCTGTTTCTGGATACTGTCGATTTAGTTTCCCTGTGATCATCATACTGTTCATATTTTTATCTTGTCAGCATATTCCCTTTTTTCCAAGAAACCCATCACATCTTAATTTGGTCTTTTACTGGTGCCTTAACTTGGACATGCCCTGGACTCCTAATTTGGTCTGTCCACTAACTCCAGAAAGTCCAAGGGCTCTGCGGCCAAGCACTATTCAGTTGGTTCCCTATTATCGACTTTCATTAACATATCTAATCATTTTAGATTCAGCTGGTTAGTGGTCAGGTTCAGTCATTTGAGCTAGTATAGGCTCCCTATGTAAGCAAGCTCAAGACCATTAGCTGATAGTGCAGATAAAAAATGACACAGAAAGTTCACATAATAAGCTATACAAAAAATTTTTAGCAATAGTTAAATATGACTAAATATAAAAGAAAAGTTCAAATAATAGTATTGCACCAAGCAGGTGCAACTAAAGCTAAATATGCTATCCTAACAATACTACTTAAAAATATTAAATGTAATTTCCCCATATTTGTAATATGCAAATGTGCTTAGTGCATCCACACAGTTAGCTAGCCCTATAAACTACCCATTCCACTGTTTTGCTAAAGCCATTTAGAAATCCATAATAGTACTGACTAGAACGTCAATAAAATAGTGCATCACATTGCATTTTTATGAGAGAATGATTGCTCTGGTGGTCTGTTTTAAGCCACTAGATGATGGCTTTCAGCTGTTGCCAGGTATGCCTGGAACTATGAGTTGCAAAGCTGAAAAGCATGTCAGTATGCTGTGGTTAATACTTTCTTTTGCAATTCTTTCTAGTATGAAGCTAGGGCTCGATTAGAGAGACTTTCTGGAAGCTCCTCTATAAGTTCAGCTGACTTGTTTGAAGATCAGAAGAAGCAGCCAACAGGTATAGAATGAAGGCAGTGAGAGAAATTGTACTTTTGTGTTTGACATACTCCCATGTTTTAGAGTCTTGGTTTCCAGTTGCACTGTGTCAGCATTCTAGCTATTTCAGTTTTGCACAGATAAAGTATGTAAGCTCTATTTTGTGCTTAGTATTTATTACGGAAGTCTACTCAGTACAAGTGGTAAATTTCATTTTAAGAATCTAAAGATTCACAATAAAAATGTTCATACTTTTAACTTATAGGGCAGATAATATTATTTGAACTTGATTTCATGACTTCAGAAGAAGCAACACTCAGCAGTTTCCCTTGGAGGGCCATGTAGGACCAACAACATCTAGAAAAGTCTTGTAAGGGACAGATGCCTGAATAAGATATAGATTTGGAGATTCATGCTTTTGACGGAAAGAACATCAACAAATGAGTTAGTTTTAAGTATTCTTTATAGCATTTAAAAATAATTGTCCCAATGCTCTGAGACACAGGAATTATCCACATTATGAACTTAAGACCACCTCTCTGCTCATAGGGGTGAAGTGACTTAACCAAAGCTGCAAAGAAACTCCATGTTGGAACTAGGATAAAAATTTAGGTATCGCTTATCCTTAGTCTACTCCAGTATTATTCTTCTCATACTACTGAACTGGCCCCCTCCTTTATCGCCCAAGGTCACTATCGTGTTCTATAACTAAACTGGTAAGAGAGGTAAGCTTCCTTTTTGTGCTTTTGAAAATCTGATGCTACATCTCACAATACGGTACTGTATTATATTGGATGACTTCAGTTTATTTCTGAATACCCTGATATAAAGGTATTTATATATTTTGTTTCATCAGTCATAGAGGAGTTTTAATCCCAGTGTGATAATCTGCTGACATGCTAGAGAAAGTTCTTGTTTGATTTTTCAGATGCATACTTTTCATAATTTAGTATTTACACAGTGAGTGATAATCCAATCATGAGAAGAAGAAAAATCAATAATCGAATCATGAGATGTTATCCAGACTAACTATAAGATGAGGCTAAGTAAAGATGACATTTTCCACATTTTTTTGTTTTGGAATTCTAGAATTTAGTGCAGAAATGGATGTTACTGTAGATTCATCTATGAATTCTTTTCAGACTTCAAGTAAAAGTCTCATTTTACCCACCACTTGAATGCATTCGACTTTGAGGTGGAATCATTGTTCAAAGCACATAACAACACTATACAGCAGTTTGGCCAGGAAACAAGTAATATTGTATACAGTTGAAGCCCATACAAGTTAACTTATGTTTTTGGACTAATTGGTCAATTTGAAATATGAATATGAATAATTGGTCAGTTTTACAAAATAAGTTCAATAGAAGTATGGATGACTCCACAAGTGAACATTTGAAAACATAAAACAGTATGATGCTGAGTAATTAGAATGGTTTTAGACCTGACATTTTATAACTTTAATTTTTAGGCATTTTCTGAATAAGGCTATTCAAATATTCATGTGTATGACATTCAGTATAGCACAATACATGCTGTACTGTATAAAAAAGGTGCATGTTAGGAAGCACAGTATCACTACAGTGTGTTTTTATTCCCTGTTTAGGAACTTACAATATTACAAATGTTCTGCCTTCAGCTCCTGATATGACTCAGTTTAAACAAGGAGTAAAATCTGTGGCAGGAAGACTTTCTGTTCTTGCTAATGGAGTCATGACATCTATACAGGTTTGTGAAATCAGAGAAGTTGGTTATATAAAAGTGGTAGGGTAGGTACTAGTCTTGCCATGAAGACTTATTCCCAAGATGACTATTAATAGATCCCTTTGGGAAAAATGCTTCTCTTTATATGCTAGAGCTAGTATTTGAAAGCTTTCAGATGTTAAAACTAAGAGTTTTTATGACATTCCAATTCTTCGAGAATAGTAGTTTTTCCTTGTATAGTTAAAGATCCATATTTTGTTTCTTGCTACTATTAAGTGTACATTCTCTGAAACAAGTTGTTTTTTCTTACTGTTGTTGGTAGGTGTTATAAGGCTTTGGCTCCTTTCTGGTGGATGCTTTGTTCCCTAGCGACATCAGGGTGAGACCGGGCTCTGGTGCCACCTAGATGATTCGAGCGCTGCTCCTACTTGCCTGCCATGTCTTTGATGTTGGTTGGTGGGGAGGCAGTTCCCTGTTGGTGGCCCCAAAGGGGTCTTGACCCTAGTCTTTTCTTCGTGGGGCTCCAAACCTCTCCTTTACCCCATCCTTACCACATCCACAGCCTAGGAAAACACTGCTCCCTGTCATCTTCCCTGGGATGATCTCACTTCATCCATGTTACCCGCCTTAATCTGGGTCGGGTCTTTCTGGCCGTCAGTCCCTCCTGAGTCGATCCCTTGTCTTCAGACCAGCTTACAGCCAAATAAACCTGCCCCGGCCTGGGCTAACTGTAACTTAAGACAACTTTAACTGAAAAGGTATTCAGCATCTGCTGACGGGCACCTGGGATTCTGTTTCCCAGGGCCCACCTGGCCCCCTGGAGTGGGGGAGGGAATTTGTCCATCTCTTCCCTCCTAGCAGGTGTGGGGGTAGGCCACCTCCC